AGTCTTGGCGGTGCCAGGCTGGAGCTATCACAGTCACCAAAGCTTCTTCCCTCCATATCTTGAGGAGCACCATGTGAACGAGAGGGATGGGCGGGAACGCGTATAGGAGATGGCCTCCCCATAGGAGGAGGAACATGTCCATGATGGATCCCAGGCTGTGATTCAGGAAGGAGCAAAATTGCTGACACTTCCTGTTGTGTCGCGTGGCGAACAGGTCTATCTGGAGAAAACCCCACTGATGGAAGTTTGAGTTCACAATGTCTGGGCGAAGGGACCAATCATGGTTGTGGAACGACTTGCTGAGATGGTCCACCAATTCATTCTGTACTCCAGGGAGGTACGATGCTTGCAGGTGTATCGAGTGTTCTACACAGAAGTCCCATAGTATGAAGGCTTCCTGGCACAGGGGAGAGGAGCATGCACCCCCATTTGTTGATATAAAACATAGCCGTCGTGTTGTCTGTCATGACTGATACACATCTCCCTGCTAGGTGTGCTCAAAGTCTGGTATGCCAGGCGTACAGCTCTCTGACATTGTGGAGAGTGAGATCTGCCTGAGACCAGAGGCCTTGTGTTCTGAGGTTTCCCAAATGTGCCCCCCAGCCCAAGTCTGATGTGTCCGTCACTAGCAAGAGGAATGGCTGAGGGCCGGTGAAAGGGACCCCTGCACGTACTACCTGTGGGTCGAGCCATCACAGGAGGGAATCGAGTACCGGGTGAGGCAGGGTTACAATCCTGTCTAAACTGTCCCGGGCTGGCCGGTACACTGATGCCAGCCATGACTCAAGAGGTCGAAGTCTGGCATGCTGTAGTAAGTAGGTACAAGCTGCCATGTGTCCTAGAAGTTTCAGGCAGTTCTGTGCTGTAATGGGAACTGTCTGAGACCTTGAGTAATGTCACCTAGGGCTTGAAATCTCGCTTCTGGAAGGAATGCCCTGGTGTATGTTGAGTCCAGTAGCATCCCTACAAATTCTATCCTCTGAACCGGGGACAGCTTTGATTTCCCCTCGTTCAGTAGCAAGCCCAGTTCGTCAAAAGAAGCTCTTATGAAGGCGAACTGCGTTTCTACTTGAGTCCTGGATCAGGCCTTGATCAGCCAGTCGTCGAGGTACGGGAACACCTGTACCTGTCTGTCGCCTGCAGAGAAACACGGACACGACTGCCATGCACTTGGTGAATCCTTGAGGTGCGGCTGAAAGACCGAATGGGAGGACTGTGAACTGGTAGTGGGTGTTGTTGTTCACCACAAACCTGAGGTATTTTCTGTTGGACGGAGTTGTTATTATGTGAAAGTATGCATCCTTCAAGTCAAGGGCGACATACCAGTTTCCTGGATCTAATGAGGGGATGATGGAGGCCAAAGAGACCATGTGGAACTCAAGCTTCTTCACGAACTTTTTGAGTTCTCACAGGTCTAGGATGGGCCTGAGCCTGCCTTTGGCTTTCGGTATTAGGAAATACCGAGAATAGAAACCATTGCCCTTCTGCTCCTGAGGAACCTCTTCCACTGCCCCCAGCAAAGGGAGCGAGTGCACCTCCTGTATAGGGAGTTGCTTGTGAGAGGGATCCCCGAAGAGGGACAGTGAAGGATGGTGGGAGGGCACAGAATTGGATGAAGTATCCCCTCTCTACCATACGGTGCACCCAGCAGTCTGAAGTGTTACGGGACCAAGCACAGTAGAAAGGGGACAGCCAGGATGAAAAGGTAAGGCGGGGTAGATCCAGTTTTTGTTCTGGTGCGCCGTCCTTGACTGAACTTTCAAAAGACCTGTTTCGGACCGGAAGGTGGCTTGGATTGCACAGAGCCCTGGCCTGATGATGGGTGTAGCCTTTTCCTGCCACTCCTGTTCCTCCTCTGGGAACCGTCCTGATGGTTCTGCTGGTAGAAGCGTGGGGGAGGTTGTGGTCTAAAATGCTTCTGCTGCATAGTTGGAGTATGGAGGGCCAATGATTTGAGAGCAGTTCTCGAGTCCTTTAGGCTATGCAGCCTTTTGTCTGTTTTCTGGGAAAAGAGAGCCGAACCCTCGAATGGGAGGTCCTGAACAGTCTGGACCTCACATGGCAGGCCCGAGACCTGGAACCTCTGAATCATGGCTATGTCCATAGCCATCACGCAGGTAGCCGCATCCAGCGTGGCTTGCAGCGAAGCTTGTGAAATGAGCTTCTCCTCCTCCCACCAGAGCCAAAAACTCGGCGCAGGAGTCCTTCAGCTCTGCAGATTTTGCCATTGTCCCGCATGTGTTGTAGCAGTACCTGCTGACAATGGCCTGCTGATTCTCCTTCCTTAGAGGTTTTTAAGGTCAGGCTTGACAAAGCCCTGGCTGGGATGATTTAACTGGGAATTGGTCCTGCTTCGAGCAGGGGGTTGGACTAGATGACCTTCTGGGGTCCCTTCCAACCCTTATATTCTATGATTCTATGATTAGAGATGTGGAGCTGCAATCCGCCAGTGGAATAGACCTCTCTCCCATAAAAGTAGAATCATTTTGCTTCACGATTCTTCGGGGAGGGTCCCTGGAAGCCCTGGCGTTCACATTGGTTGGCAGCATCAAGAGCAAGAGAGTCAGGTGGGGGATGGGCATACAAATGCTCATAGCTCCTGGACAGCAGAAAGTAGTGCCTTTCGTTGTGCTTAGTTGTAGGGGGCAATGAGGCTGGGGTCTGCCACAAAGTTTTTTGTGGTGTCAGAGATGGTCTTTGTAAGAGGCAAGGCGATACGTGCAGATCTGGAGGGGTGAAGGATGTCTACCATTGGATCTGCGTCCTCCACTACCTCCTTCACTTGAATGCCCAGGCCCTGGGCAACTGTTGCAGCAATTGCTGTAGAACCCTGCTGTCCTCCAGGGCTGGGGCTGTAGCCGGGCCCACCAGCGCCTCATGTGGTGAGGACGAGGAAGAGACCCCCGTAAGGGGTGGCTGCTCCCTTCCTTCTGCACCCAAAGGGTTCTGCAGCACCTGGATTTCTTGGGCCGGTGCCCACTCAGATGGTGTTGTGCCCCTCGGTGTCAGGACTCAGCACCGGTGTCAGTGTATGCAAAGTGTAATCGGTGCCGAGGCAGTCGCTGGTGCCGGAGCCGTTGTCAGTGTTGGAGACATCGGAGCCAAAACAACTGGGGCTGGTGCAGGCCATGCCGGTGCCACGGTGCCAGAGGCGATGGGATGGTGGCATTGGGTGGCAATGCAGCTACCCGCGATCCTACTGATGCCAATGGTGCTGGCGGGGGTACAGACATGGCTGAGGCCACTGACATTGCCCTGGGATGTGACCCTTGGCTTTGATGAAAAGCCCAGGGAGGCCAAAAGGGCCATTGCGCTGGGGGCTGCCATTGTGCGGGCGATGGTGCCAGGTAAGGGTGCTGGTCCTGTGTTGACATGGACCATCTGCTCCTACTCCTACAGGACCAATAGGAGTCTGACTCTGAGGTGTCTGAAAAAGAGGACCACAGAGGAGCAGTATTTCTGGGTGAGGACCGTTCGTGCCGAGGGCTCGGGGACCATCGCAGCTGCTGGATCTGTTCCAGTGCCCAGGAGTGGTGCGCTGGAGTTGGAGATCAGCAGGGCATCATGGCGGGCTTTCCCCCTTGAAGGCGCTCTGCGAGCAACCAGTACTGGTGACCTGTCCCGTCTAGGAGGGGAGAACGGTGCCATGAAATGGAGCAATTCTTGGGCTGCCTCGAATGCCTCCGGAGTTGAAGGGAGGTGCAGCTCCCAGGTTGGCCTCAGCAAATGAGGAGGGTCTAAACTCAACCGTCCTTCCACGTGGGCAGGAGTCTACACGACTGTCACCGGTGGTGGAGCGGAAATAGTGTGGCCCAACTTGGGTCTCACGATGGCTAGCTCCTTAGGCCTAATGGGGAGAGCGACCCCTCTCTGGCCTCTTCTTCTTTTGCGGTACCGGTGACTCCATGTGGCATGTGAGCCATGAATGGAGCCGGTGCCATGAGTACTTGTCCTTACTCAGCACCGGTGCTTGTGCTGATGGTGCTGGAGCGCTCTGCATCGAGGAAGAGGAACGCGGTGCAGGTCAGTCGACCTGGGGTCAGACTTGGGGTGGAGTGCAGCCTCCATTAACAGGATCTTCAGGCACTGATCTCTGTCCTTTTAATGTCCTGAGCCGAAAGGTCTTGCAGATGGTAGAACGATCCTTCTGATGGTTCTCTCCTAAACACTTCAAACATGAAGTGTGAGGATCGCTTCTGGGCATACACTTGCTGTAGACTTCACAGGCTTTGAAGCCCGGAGACCCTGGCATGCCCTGGCGTCAAGAGAGTGAGGAGGGGACGCCCCCTCCCCAAGAAAACTTAGTCTAACACTAAGGGCTCCTAACTATTTAATTAACTCTACAGAGCTAATGAAAACTATGTATATAGACTGCTAAATGCACTTGCCAAGACAAGAGCACAGGGAAGATCCAGCAAATCGTCACTGGTGGTAAGAAGGAACTGAGAGGGTGGCGGGTCGGCAGGGCTCTATATTGAGCGCCATAAAGGTGCAACTCCAGGGGGCACCCAGACCGACCCGATGGATGCTGCTATGGGAAAATCTTCTGGTTACTGTGCATGTGTGTGGACATGAACAAGCACTCGAAAAAGAATACACTGTTTTGGTTGCCTCATGTAGTTCTAAGGGGAATAGTTTTCTTGACCTTCATTATGCTAACAGGTCAGCTTATGCCAGTCTTAAGAGGGCTGATAAACAAGAATCCCAATAGAAAAAGCCACCTCAGTGACTAGTATTCTGTTGCCCTCACTGGTATCCGTGACCCTTCAATTAGCAGCTAAGATCTGAAATGCACAAAGTAGTAATGGCTATTGACAAGAAGTTTGTAAATGAATGGGCAGTTCTCCCAGCCTTTCAAAGAGATCTGATGATTCAGAGTGGCAGCACTGCAAGTGCCAAGTATGAGATAATCAGACCTGCAGAGCCGTATGCTGCATAGGCAGGATTGTTTCTGGAATGACTTTGGTTCTTTCTAAGCTACTTTCACCTATTGTTGGTTGCCAGTCCTGCCTTTGGGAGTATGAGCATCATTGGCTCTGGACTCTTGTTTAAAAGCACTTTGTAAAATAAGATATTGTTGCACAAAGCCTGTTTCTTGATTAGAACTGTTAATGGAATAAGTAATACCGATTGTAAAGGGTTGTAATGATGGTTATATAGAGCTTTCATCCCAAAGGATCCCAAAATGCCTTACAAGCTATATACAGCCACATATGCTTCAAACTATGAGCATCTCATGACATTTGGGTATCTTGTTAGTTTCCTGAATTGACTTTTGGGTATATTGCTAGTAACTCTTTTTTGTGAGCACACGATGGCACCGTTGAAACCAGGTAGTTTTCAGGCCTAACAGTTTGCTCCATGAATTTGTTCAGAGCTGAGGGGAAACATGCGTGTGTCCTGTGTGTTGATGCTGCATGCCTAGTGGGAGTGTCATAACAAATGGTTGAGGGAATGGCAGAAGGAGGGGACGCCGGTGCTCCGCCCATCCATCTGTGGGTGCGACGGGTAGGCGTCTACTGTGATGAACGCCGTAAAACATGGCTCGTGGCTGTGGAAGAGGCAAGTGACTTTCAAGCTTCTCAGTGATCATAGTTCTGATATTGTGGATGTCTTTACTGCATTGCTAATAACCGACTTATTCTTCTCTTGTGTACTTTCCCCTAGGAGGCAGGTACCCTGAGGGCCCGGATTCAACGAGTTCGGGTCCCCCTGGGTGAGGCACTGCGACCCAGCCAACTTCCCCCATCACAACTGCCTCACATGTGGCAGCTTTCCGAGGGCGAGCAGTACAGGGATAGTAACTCTCGCATTTGGGAGATACAGCACCATCTAATGGTAAGACTGGTGGCAAACCTGAGTCATTCATGTTTGTGAAGTGATTTGAGATCCTTGAGGAAAGGTGCTGTAGTAGGGCAAAGAAATATTATTATTGAGGTATATTAGCTCTTTGCCACAGTGGTTTAGGTGTACTGAACTTTTCCTTGTCATATACAGATCAGGGGAGTTGAGGAGCTGCTGCTTAGACTCATGCCTGGTGATTAACTTGGTAAGTGTTGCCATTTCCTCTCTTTCTTACTCTTCTTTAACTATTTGTAGTGGTCCTTTAATATGAATTTTTGTCTTTCAGGAGCGGTGCCTCTAGGAAGATGTCCCTGTTTGTTTTGTACAATATATGATTCTCTCACCTCAGAGGTGGGAGGTGGCAGCTGTTTAACAGCACACAGCAGCACCACACAAGAGTTTAGGACAGGCAGTGAAGAAGAGTATCATGTCCAATTGAAACTACAAGGGGCAGTTTTAGGTAGGCAGAATGTAATTTCCCTGACTGGAGTTTGGCCAGGATACTGGGGCTAATGCCCCATCTGTTTTGAAAAGTGCCATGGGATTGTTAATGACCATGAATGGTCAGAATGTCTTTCATATCCTATCCACAAGACAGTACATCAGCATCTCCTAGCACTGTGTGTGGGGACTTTGGCTTAATGGTGGCTCAGAGGGAAGAGTGATGCCCCAACACCACTTCCTGCAGCATCTGCATTTTCTTTGGAGTCTTCCATCCAACTACTAATCCCATCCACCTCTGCTTTCCTTTTGATCTCAAAGTGTCATGACGATAGACAGGTCAAACTGGGTGTCAAAAACCCTATCTTAAAAAAGGTTTGAGTCTGATAAGGTCATCTGCTGCATTTTTTGCTAGGTTGTTTAAATCTACCGATCGCCAAGGCATTTTCTTTTAAAAAGTAATCCTTTTTTAGGACCACAAAAATGATGCTTTTATTTATAAATTCCTTCTCCAGAGGCAGTTCTATGACAAATGCTGTTTCCCTAGAAGCGCCGCTCCCCCCATCAATGTTAGTACATCAAAAGATATTTGAGCATAATAAGCTCTGAGTTGAGCTCTTAAACTAAAACAACCATGTTCATTTAAGCATCCTTCAGATTCAACGTGGGTGAGAGTTCACTAATTGCCAAGTGGAAAAAGAACTAGATTTGACCAGGAAGAGATTTTCAGATTTTACAAGATGAACCCTTCAAGATACCCATTATCCACTTTTCATTCCTTGCCTAACTCTGGCTGTCCCCAGTGATATCCTAGGGTGTTTAAAGCATTGTTGCTCCCTGGGCCAGTGGAGGACAGGACAGTGGGGAAGGTTCCGTGGTCGGCTTGTGGCGATAAGGAATTCTTTTGTGTGTCTCACAGTGACCCTAAAGCAACGTGAGACTGGCTTTGAATGGGGACCCATCCAATTGTCCATTGTGAGGAGGGTGTATGAATAGGGAAAATGTGAGCTCCATAGGGTCTAAGTCTTAGGCAGTGCCTTGCCCAGCCCCTAGAGAGAACCCACACCCCACTGTTTGTATAGTAACATTTTCCTATCATTCTAGTTCTGTGGATATGCCCCAGAAGGATCCCTGCCAGAAACAAGCCTGTGAAATACAGAAATGCTTGCAAGGTACCATGTGCAATCTTTTCTTTTTGGTGTCGTTTGTTTGTTTGTTTGTTTGTTTTTAAATTTAACCCCATCCTCCTTTCTCCCTAGCAAGAGGAATAAGGGAAGGACGAAAAATAACTTAGTTGCAAATGTAATGTAGTTGTAAAATCAGATTTTAATATCACCACATTGCATTTGATTTGATGTAACTAAACTCCACTACTGTACGACAAAGAGTTTGTCACAATAAAGGATAGTACTTATTTGTGTGTCTGAAAATAGATATATAGGAGAGGCAGTGGTGTTGTAGTATGGTGTAAAGTTTGCATTAACCTGAATTTGGGATGGTCACGTTACTCACACATGGTAAAATGAGCCACAGGTCACTCATCTTGGAAAATCCCGGGTGGGTGTGCGGGTTCTCTCCCGTAAGTTGTTCTTGCCAAGGCCCAGGGTTTCAGTCTGTCATCCCTCCCCTGTTCCATATATGTCTGCAGCCAGTAGGGGAAACCACAAGAGGCTCTCTGCAGAGAGATGATGCTGAGCTGTAGGTGTCCTCTTCATTAAGCCTAGATTCATCAGCCTCCTTGCTTTCCCAGTGGCTCAGAGAAGCTGGGATGTGAATGAGAGCTAACTGGCCAGGGCTCATTCCCTGACCAATGAGCATCCCTTTCAGGTTAGCTGGAAAGCACCAGAGCAATGTACCCTCCTTTGGTCTCTTCAGCTCCTGTTTGCGCACAGCGAGATGTACAGGTGAGATGACAGGAGACCTGTGTTGCTCCTAGGCTAGATCACTGCTGTGGGCTCTAGTTGGGGTTACCTGGAAGGATGTAAGCCAGACAGTTACTCTTCTCTTGGAAAGATTCTAATGCTTGTTCTGGAATCCCCAAGTTGCTCTTTTAGTCTCTCATTGGGTCACTGTTTCCTCCCACTTAGTCTTCAAAAAGCTTGGGAGAATGATTATAGCAGTGCCTGTTTGGGCAGTGCAATCTCCATTTCTCTTAACTAGGCTTGGCAGAATTAGAGTTTGTTCTCTTTATAAAAAAGGGGTACTTGTGGCACCTTAGAGACTAACAAATTTGAGCATAAGCCCACAAAAACTTATACTCAAATAAATTTGTTAGTCTCTAAGGGGCCACAAGTACTCCTGTTCTTTTTGTGGATACAGACTAACACGGCTGCTACTCTGAAACCTGTCACACTTTTTATAATTTCAACGAATAATTTTCATTTTTTTCAATTTGTAACTATTTTCAAAATTGCACAATTATGGGGTTTAAACATTTTTTATTTTTATCCATTTTAAATTTTCACAATTACAGGAAATCGGGGGTGGGGGATCAGTGATTGACTGTCATTAAATATTGAAATTCAAAAAGATAAATATCCTTAAATCAAACGCTAATAAGTTCTGAAGCAGCATTTTTCTTCCTTGGCCGATCTGGAAATTTTGATGATTATTGATGGATGCCTCAGTTTGTGTGTGTAGGGTGAAAGTGACATTTACCAATAAAAATCTAGTCCTTCCAAGCCTACTTTATAGGGGGAGGTAGGTAACCCTCTGGCCAGGAAAGCTTCCTGCAGACAGAGACTTTATTAGCTAGCACCACTGTTCCACCTGCAGCAATAGCTGCTCTGTCATGCTAGGGGCCACCTCCCTCAAAATTCTCACATTCTTTGAAGATGGTGAACCTGTAAAACATTCTGGGACATTACAGGATCGAACAAGCTGTGCTGCCAAGCCGAGTCTCAGTTTTAGAACGTAAAGATTAAGGGTGGTGTTGGACAAGTAACCTATGTTCTGCAGTGTTTGAGAACTCTTAGCACCCTGAGGCACTATGGCCTCAATGAGTGCCACAGCTATTGCTACTTCTTAGAACCTGGGGTATGGTAGACACTGGGAGGGGAAGGAGAGAGCTGTGTGCATATGTGGGTTGACATCCACTAGAAGGTTGCTCGTTCCTAGTCTCAGCACTTTTGAGCTAATTGATGGCTCTGTGAGAAGAGGTATTTCACACAGGAAAGGGTGCAGGGGGCTTCACACAGCTCTGCAGAGCTCTCTGCCTGCCCCCCAAGAATGATTCTTCTTGCTGGTTGCAACCCATCTCTGGCCCCTCTTATGGTGCCCAAAGGCCTCTTTGACTAACTTGAGTGAAAAAAACCAAACCATGCATCTCTCTGCATTTGTAGTGTGTTCTTCATTTGGTGTCTAAGGTTTAAATTCAACTGTAATCATTTATGGGTGACCTCCGAATTGGATGGGGAATAAATCCGTGGGAGAACAGAACCAAAGTCCAAACCCAGCTAGAGAGAGCAGGGGTTGCAGGGCAGGGAATCAGTGAAGATTTGTTAATAAATGTGAAGTTTTCTACCTAACAGTGGTAGATACACAATTGGGAGGTGGGTCATGCACCCCATTAGCTGTACTCCCTCCATTAAAGCAAGTTGTTTGCACCTCATCTCAACACCATTTCCCCAGAACTAAGCAGCATAGCTATTGCAGAGCAGGGATGTGGATGGGATGGGGAAGTGGCCACAAGAGGATCAAGCTCAATCCACAATGTGAAAGAACTTAACTAGGTTAGATGAACCCCCTTTTTCATGCAATTTGCTCTCTAGTGCAGGATTAGCATCTCCATTCTTTTATTTTACAGCCAACAACTATCTGGAGGCTAGATGTGAGGCTGTGCTCCAAGAGATGAGAAGATGCTGCGCCCTGTACCCCAAGGGCAGATCCATCTGTTGTTCGGGGTTTGAGAAAGAGGAAAGAGAGAGGGAGAAGCTTAAGGCAGCTTCAAATGGGATTCATGCAGCACCACAGTAACAGGCTGCAGCTCCAGCTCCAGGAGGTTATGGAGCGTGGGCCTCTCCTACAGACAAAGTAGCATGCAAGTGGCAAATAAGAATAAACCGGTTAAAATAATGCATTATCCACACTGATAAGGAAGCCAAAGAAGAATCCATCATAGAATAAAACGTCCTGTGCACCAAATGTAAAATGCAATACAACAGATGGGCTGTTCAAAGGATTATGTTTTCTATCCCAAACTCTTGTGACTTACAGTGCATTACATCTCTCTAAATACAGTTTGTTTCTGATGCTTAATGTACTCAGTAATCCATTCTCAGAATAAGAATTTGAGGGTGAAATATAAAACTTTCAGCCTTCTGGCATAGGACGTACAGGAAATAAGTTCAAGGAGAGTCTATTGAATGTGATGCATTAAGCAAGACCATCTTTGAGTAGCAGAAATATTCCTATCATTGAGCCATAGTTTCCCAAAGACGTGATCTGCTTTTCTAGTACTTAAAGCAAGAATGGGATTCAGCTCTGGGGTTTATTCCCAGCTCTGCCACAGTTCGTCTGTGCCCATAAGTCACTTCACCGAGGTGCCTGTTTCCTCAGTTGTGCAATGGGGTATTGGATTAATGAATAGTTGGACCACATTGCACAATAGTATTTGTATGATCTTAAAGACGTTGCAGAAGTATTTTATTTCAGGGACTGCTAAAGGAATAGATTCTTTTAAAGTAGTATTTATGGAAAACTGAGGTGTTGGAATAAAATGGATTTTTATGATGTTGAGAGCAGCAGTCATCTTGTATGACTGAACATCTCTAAGCAATATGACATGCAATGAATTTGTGAGACAGTGCCCCTTTACACATAGTTCTGTCATACAAAGCCTAAGCAACTTTGTGCACGTCAGGGTGATCATTACACTATCAAGCACAACTTAGTTAAGAAATATAGGTTTTTATGAACAATAACAGACCACT